AAAACTTTTTTTCAACAAAAGGTAATTTTTTTAGAAAGCTAAGGCACTGATTGGTAGGAGATATTTGTCACACATTTAACTGAAAATTGATTAATATCCAGGATATATGAAAAACTCTTTTTTTCCAATAAAGAAAATTTTTTTCAAAAACCAGAAACAAATAAGCAACATAGTTTTTTTACAAATGATAGGGTTTTTTTTGCACTTGTCACACTAGTAATCAGGGAAATTTTTTTTAAGGTGATGAGATTTTTTTTGGCACTTAACGCTGGCAGAAACTCAAGTTTTTTTTTACTAACTTTTATTTTTTTTGAGGCAGAGAAACATGAGCACTTTCTACATTTTTTTTGACATAGTTGGCTTTTTTTCTTCAGAGAGTATTTTGTTAATACAATTCTTTTTTTAGGTGTAAAGCCCTTTTTTTGCACAAGAAGAGACATATATGTGAACTGCTTTTTTTTTTTAATAGTGTATTTTTTTAAACATTCTAAGTGTTTGCTAGAAGGACATTTTTTTGATAAATTGTGGTTTTTTTTAAAATACTTAATTTTTTAGAGCAGGTTTACGTTAGGTTCACAGCAAATTTGAACAGAAGATCCAGACCCTATGTCTGCCCCACATTTTTTTTGCCTCCTCCATTATTTTTTTCCCACCACCCCCACTCTGTGGTACCTTTGTTTTTTTTAATGAACCTACATTTTTTTGCATATTATTTGGCAGTTAATGAACTTTTTTTTTTTTCAGCATTTATAATTTTTTTATAATGTGGGATGCAGACTATTAAATATGTTTTTTTACAATTTTTTAAATTTTTTTAAAGTGAAACAGTGGGACGCCTGGGTGGCTCAGTTGGTTAAGCGTCTGCCTTCGGCTCCAGTCATGATCCCAGGGTCCTGGGATATTTTTTTATATCGGGCTCCCTTTTTTTCGGGAGCCTGCTTCTCCCTCTGCCGCTCCTTTTTTTTGTGCTCTCTCTCTTTTTTTCAAATAAATAAATAAAATCTTTAAAGAAATTTTTTTTACTATATAATTTTTTTTTTCCCACATATGTAATAAAAATATAGAAATGTTTTTTTGAATATCAAGCTCTTTTTTTTGGTTATCTCTGCAGAGCAAAGGAAAGAGTTTTTTTTATATCTCCAATATTTTTTTTATAAACTGATCTGGAGTAATAGCAGCAGTTTTTTTACTTGTTGAATTGTTTTTTTGATATATGACTGCTTTTTTTTTAAATTAGTTTCAGAGGTAGAATTTAATGATTCATTAGTTGCATAGAATACCCAGTGCTCATTATTTTTTTTGCTTTCCTTAATTTTTTTTACCCAGTTACCCCATCCCCTCCACCCACCTTTTTTTCAGCAACCCTCAGTTTTTTTCCTAGAGTTCAGCATTTCTTATGGTTTGCTTTTTTTTCAATTTTCATCTTTTTTTTCCTTCCCTTCTCCTTTGTTCATCTCTTCTTTTTTTTAAAATTCCACTATTTTTTTTATCATATGGTATTTGTTTTTCTCTGACTGTTTTTTTTCACTTAACCTAATTTTTTTTAGTTCCATTCATGTCATTGCAAATGGCATTTTTTTATTCCTTTTTTTTTTTTTTTTTTAAGATCTTATTTATCTGAGGGATGCCTTTTTTTCTCAGTTGGTTAATTTTTTTCCTTCAGCTCAGGTCATGATCTCAGGGTCCTGGGATCTCGAGTCCCGCATCGGGCTCCCTGTTCAGCGGTGAGCCTGCCTCTCCTTTTTTTTGCCGCTCCCCCTGTTTTTTTTCTCTCTCTCTGTCAAATAAGTAAGTAAATTTTTTTTTTAAATATTTTTTTTTTTTATTTTATTTATTTGAGAGAGAGAACATGATTTTTTTGAGGGGCAGAGGGTTTTTTTCAAGCAGACTCCTCACTGAGCAGGGAGCCTTTTTTTGCCACATCCCAGGTTTTTTTCCTGGGATCATGACCTGAGCCGAAGGCAGTTTTTTTACCCAACTGAGACTTTTTTTTGCCCATGATTTCATTCTTTTTGATGTCTTTTTTTTATTCCATTGTGTGTTTTTTTGTGCGCGCGCGCGCGTGTGTGTATACCACTTTTTTTTGTTTGTATATATTTTTTTTCACCACATCTTCTTTATCCATTCATCTGTTTTTTTTCATCTGGGCTCTTTTTTTTTTTTGGCTATGTGGACATTGCTGCTATAAATTTTTTTGTGCATGTGTGCCTTTTTTTCACTGTTTGTATCCTTTGGATAAATACCTTTTTTTTCAATTGCTGGGTTTTTTTTTAGCTCTATTTTTAACTTCTTGAGGAACCTTTTTTTTGTTTCCCAGAGTGTTTTTTTCAGTTTGCATTCCCACCAACAGTGTAAGATTTTTTTGCTTTCTCCGCATTTTTTTTCACATCTGTTGTTTCCTGAGTCGTTAATTTTTTTTTTTCTGACTGGTGTTTTTTTTCATCTCATTGTGGTTTTGATTTGTATTTCTTTTTTTTCAAGTGATATTGTTTTTTTTTTCATGTATATGACTGCTTTTTATATGTTTTTTTTTATTCTCTGTGTTTTTTTTTTCATCTAGGATAAAGGTAAGAAACAAAGTTTTTTTTTTTGAGGACTTGGTTTTTTTTGCAGTAGTATGAGAAAGAAGTAACTGAATTTTTTTTTAAAAAATAACATTTTTTTGCACCTGGGTGACTCAGTTGGTTAAGTTTCTACCTTCAGCTCAGGTCATGATCCCGGAGTCCTGGGATCGAGTCCCACATTGGGCTTTTTTTTCAGCAGGGAGCCTTTTTTTCCCTCTGCTCTTTACCCTGCTCATGCTCTTTTTTTTTCTCTCTCAAATATTTTTTTAAAATCTTTAAAAAAATAAAAATAACATGTTTTTTTTATATGTTATAGGTTTTTTTAAACTAAAAAGGGAAAGAGTGATGACACATTTTTTTGGTTTTTTTGATGTTTTTTTTTACTGAGGGAGATGATAAGAAATAGGTTTTTTTTTCCCTGGAAAGGATTTTTTTTATTATTTTCTATGTAAACTGGAATGGAAATTTTTTTATGAGATGAAAATTTTTTTTTGTTTTGAGTTGGAAAAGGCACTATTTTCTTTTTTTGTTACTAAAGTTGTTTTTTTTGTCAAGGTGTTACATATGTGGGGTTTGATTTTTTTGGAAGGATATGCATTTTTTTTGTAAGGAATGAAATAAAGTTAGATAAAATTTTTTTTTGAAGGAAAAGGTTTTTTTGAATGAAATTTATAGTAGTATTTTGCTGTTTTTTTTTATCAGCTTTGTTTTTTTTTCCAGTGGCAGGATCTTATTGTTGACTGCCTTAACTCACCACTTAGGGGAGGTGGAGAGTCAGAGCCCAAAAGTCCTTGAAAATATTTTTTTTCTATAGCAGTTTTTTTTTTTTATTCTCTTAGTTATAATTTCATGTAGTTTTTTTTTTCTGTTTATTTGATTTTTTTTTCTTACTGTTTTTTCTCAAGTTTTTATTTTTTTTTCAGTTAGTTAACATTTTTTTTAACATTTGTTTCAGGTGTAGATTTTAGTTTTTTTTCACTTACATACAATTTTTTTTGTTCATCACAAGTGCCCTCCTAATTCCCATCACCTAAGTAACTGCCCCCCCCCACCTCTGGTAACCATAATTTTGTTCTCTATATTTTTTTGTCTTGGTTTGCCTTTTTTTCCCCCCCTCCATGTTCATTTGTTTTGTTTTTTTTTTTCCACATGAGTGATTTTTTTTGGTATTTGTTTTTCTCTGACTTATTTCATTTTTTTTAATACTCTCTAGTTTTTTTCATGTTGTTGTAAATGGCAAGATTTCATTTTTTTTTTTTTTAAAGATTATTTTTTTTAGAAAGTGTGCATGGGTGGGGGGAGGGGTTTTTTTACATGGAGGGAATTTTTTTTAGACTTCCTGCTGAGTGGGGAGCCAGACTTTTTTTTGGATCTCAGGACCTTTTTTTCATGACCTGAGCCGAAATCAGGAGTTGGATTTTTTTCTGACTGAGCCACTTTTTTTCCCCAAGATTTCATTCTTTTTTATGGCTGAGTAATATTCCATTATAGATATATATGGAATATATATATATAGGAATATTTGATATATATATATAATTATACACATTATACACACACACATACATAGCACCTCTTTTTATCCTTTTTTTAGTCGATGGACATTTTTTTTCTTTCCATAATTTGGCTATTGTTAATAATTTTTTTTTAAAATTGGTGTGTTTTTTTCCCTTTGATTAGTAGTTTTGTATCCTTTGTTTTTTTAGCTAGTAGTGCTTTTTTTTAAGGTAGTTCTGTTTTTAACTTTTTGAGGTTTTTTTATCCTGTTTTCCATTTTTTTTGCTCCAGTTTTCATTCCCACCAATAATGTTTTTTTGTTCTTCTTTTTCTTTTTTTTCACCAACACCTGTTGTTTCCTGTGTTGTTTTTTTTATCTTCTTACTGTTTTTTTTTTCACAAAAATTTGGCTTCATTGATGGCATTTTTTTTTGTTTTTGCTTTTTTTTTTAGAGCTTTTGGATGCAGAGTGATTAGATTTTTTTTTTTATTCTGCCCATTTTTTTTCAGCTTTGCTGAGGCTCTTCATATATAAATTTTTTTCTTGACTCCAATCTTTTTTTCTTTAGAAACATTTGATATAGTGGAGGACTTTTTTTTTTTTATTTGTACTTTTTTTTTTAAATTATTAGTATAATAAAACATGGAAAAAATCTTTGGCAAGTTGCTGTTTCAGAAAGTGTCCAGATTTGGACAATAAAATGTTTTTTTTGGTCTTGATGAGTTTTTTTTCAAGACTGTTTCTAGACTAAGAGTTAGGTTTTTTTGTTCTAAAAGATGTTTTTTTATGATTTAAGCCTTCTTGAGTATCAGAAAGTAAAGATTGTATAATATGATTTCTAAATGTTTCACACTTTTTACGTTACAGTTCTTTTTTTTCGAAAATGGTTTGTTTTTTTTTGAACACATACTATCCATGCTGATGGGATTTTTTTCAATATGAATATATTTTTTTGAGGAAGACGACGCTTTGAGGATAATGAATTTTTTTTACATATATATCCTTTTTTTATTTCAGAAGGGACTATCTACTGTCCAATTCCTGCCAGAAAAAACTCCACAGCTGCTGAGGTGATTGACTCTCTTATAAACAGACTTTTTTTTGACAAAACAAAATTTTTTTTTCTTGCAGAAGTAAAGGAATTTGGTGGATTTTTTTGGATACTCAATCCTTTTTTTTGTCCAGTTCAGCGAATGATGTTGTGGCCTTTTTTTGCTCTGGAAAATCTTTTTTTTGGAGAGGACTATCGCTTTCTTCTGAGAGTTTTTTTCCTTGATGGATCATTTTTTTATGGTAGTCTGCAGTCATGGTTACGGGTAACAGAAGAACGCCGCAGGATGATGGAACGGGGCTTTCTTCCACAGCCTCAACAGAAAGACTTTGATGATTTATGTAGCTTACCTGATTTGAATGAGAAAACTCTTTTAGAAATTTTTTTAAATCGCTTTAAGTTTTTTTAAATTTATACCTATGTTGGCAGTATTCTATTTTTTTTTAACCCATTCAATTTTTTTCCTATTTATAATCCCAAATACGTCAAAATTTTTTTTAACCACCAATTGGTTTTTTTGGAGCCCCACATTTATGCTGTGGCTGATGTTTTTTTTCATGCCATGCTTTTTTTTTAAAAGAATCAGTGCATCGTGATTTCAGGATTTTTTTGTTCTGGGAAGACTTTTTTTACAAACTTCCTTATTCACCACCTTACTGCTCTCAGTCAGAAGGGATTTGCCAGTGGAGTGGAACAAATTATTCTTGGAGCTGGACTTTTTTTTGAGGTAAGTGCATTTTTTTACTTTTCTTACTCTTGTATGTTTATAAGGTTTTTTTTGATATACTCTGATTTTTTTATCTTTGAAAAATAAAAAGTAAAAATTTGTTTTTTTTGAGAAAATGAAATTTTTTTTATAGACATCATTTTTAGTTACCAAGGAATTTTTTTAGATGGAAAGCAATTTTTTTAGTGTGAAAATTTAAGAGTGTGACAGTGGCATTATTTTTTCAAAGGTGTTTTTGGGTCATAGTGATAAAGAAGGAGATGATTGGGTTTTTTTGTATCCCCCTGTATTTTTTTATAGCAGGGGCAGGACTCCTGTCTGTAATTTTTTTTTGGAATTAGGTGTTTTTTTTAAATACTCTTTTTTAAAAAATTTTTTATTTTTTTTTTAATCACTATACATTTTTTTACTAGTTTTTGATGTAGTGTTCCATGATTTTTTTTTTGTGTATAACACCTTTTTTTCCATGCAGAACGTGCCCTCTTTAATACCCTTTTTTTGGCTAACCCATCCTTTTTTTCCCCTCCCCTCTAGAACCCTCAGTTTGTTTTTTTTTGTCCATCATCTCTTTTTTTTCGTCTCCCCCTCCTATTCCCCCCCTTCATTTTTTTTGAAAATACTCTTATTTTTTTATTTATACCCTTGTAACTTTAACATCTGTTTTTTTTATTGAATTCTAAGTTTTTTTTTTGAAAATGTAAAGAATATGGGGAAAAGTTTTTTTTCTATAACGTTTTTTTTTTTATATTACCAAAGGTAGAAAGAATAGAGAATTTTTTTTTTGTGTTTTAGATTTTTTTGGAAAACGTAATGTTACTTATTTTTTTTTTTTTTTTTTATTTATTAGAGTTTTTTTATGCGCACGTATGAACGGGAGGAGGGGCAGAGGGAGAGGGGCAAGCAGACTCCCCACTAAGTGGGAAACCAAGGTGGGGCTCAATTTTTTTTCCCTGAGATCGTGTTTTTTTCTGAAGTCAGATGCTTAGCCAACTGAGCCTTTTTTTTGCCTCATATTACTTTTTTTTTAAAAGGGATTTTGTGAGGTATAATTGATTTTTTTTAAACTGCACATATTTTTTTTGTACGATTTGATAAAATTTGACATGTATTTTTTTTAATTAAACCACCATTTTTTTCAAGATACTGAATATATCCATTATTGCTGTTTTTTTCATATCTCTTTTTTTTTTTTTTTTTTTAATCCAAAATCTGTTTATTGGGATAGTGTCCCACTCATCTTGATTCAGGGTGCTTTTAGTGCTGCTTCCGCCTGAAGGTTTTTTTTTCTGTAAGCCTTTTTTTTTCTCCTGTGGGCTGGCAGAGGACAGTGGAGCAGCCGACACACAGAACTACCGTTTGTGTGTGGCTGAAGACGGTGGTGATTTTGTATTTTTTTGGGCACTTCACGTTTTTTTTGTAGGAGTTGGGGCTCTGCACCAGGCGCTTTTTTTTGTGCTTCCTCTTCTTTTTTTCCGGGGACAGGTGCAGGAGATCCTTCGCGTTTTTTTTGTTCTCGTGGGGTTTTTTTCACCGCCGGAAAGACTCCTCATATCTCTTTTTTTTTCCTCTTAACCTTTTTTTTTTCAGTCATCTACAAGAAACCACTTACTTTGTTTTTTTAGATTAGTTTGTATTTTTTTAACTAATTTTTATATAAATGGAATCATTTTTTTTTTACTCTTTTATGTTTTTTTTTTCTTGGTATAATTATTTCAGGATTCATCCTTTTTTTTGTATGTGTCAGTTTTTTTTTCCTTTAGCTTAGGTAGAATTCCACTGTCTTTTTTTACCACACTTTGTTTTTTTTTTCACCTGTTAATGGATATCTAGGTTGTTGTTTTTTTTTGGCTATTACATTTTTTTTTCTGTAAGTCTTTGTGTGGACATACACTTTCTTTTGGGTAAATACCTAGGAGTGGAATGACTAGGTCATATGATAGGGTATATGCTTTTTTTTTTAAGAAACTGCTTTTTTTTTCCAAAGTGATTGTACCCATCATTTTATTTTTTTTCCCAGCAGTGTGTTTTTTTTCCAGTTACTCCACATCCTTGCTAATCCTTTTTTTTTTCATTCCTTTAAATTTTTTTCATTCACATATATATATATGCATATATATTTTTTTTGTGGTTATCTCATTTTTTTTTTAATTTGCATTCTATAATGACTAATGCTTTTTTTTTATTTTCATGTGTTTTTTTTCCTTTTACATATCTTCTTTGGTGAAATGTTTTTTTTAATTTATTGTCCATTTTTTTACTGTGTTTTCTTACTGTTTTTTGGAAAGTTTTTTTTGTAGTGGGTATATTTTTTTTATCACATATGTGTTTGCACACATTTTCTTTTTTTTTTAACCACTTCTTTTTTTTTTTTTTGAGTATAATTGACAATATGCTATATTTTTTTCAGGTGTACAACTTTTTTTTTCCACACGTTTATAATATTGTGCTGTGTTTTTTTTTAGTTACCTACCATTTTTTTTGATACATGCTGTTAACAGTATCATTAACTATATTCCTTATGCTGTGCCTTTTATTCCCATGGTTTATTCATTCCATAAGTGGAAGTTTTTTTCTCTCACTCCCCTTTTTTTTTTAGGCCCAACTTCCCACCCCTTACCTCTTTTTTTTCTATCAGTTTGTTTTTTTTTTATAGGTTTGATTCTGCTTTTTATTTCTTTTTTTTTTCCCTAGATTCTTTTTTTTTAAATCATGTGGTATTTTTCTTTCTCAGTCTGCCTTATTTCACTTAGCATACTGTCCTCTAGGTCCATCCATGTTGTCTCAGATGATTTTTTTTCATTCTTTTTTATTTTTTTGTAATATCCCTTTTTATATACACACCGCATTTTTTTTATCCATTCATCTTTTTTTTAACACTTAGGTTGTTTCATATCTTGGCTATTTTTTTTAATGCTGCAGTATTTTTTTGAGTGCATATATCTCTTTGAATTAGTGTTTTTTTTTTCTTTGGGTAAATTTTTTTTATTGGAATTATTGGATCGTATGGTATTTCTTTTTTTAATTTTTTGAGGATTTTTTTTACTATTTTCCATATTGGCTGTACCAATTTTTTTTTCCACCAAGAGTGTTTTTTTTTTCCTTTTTCTCCGCATCCTCGCCAACACTTATTATTTCTTGTGTTTTTGATTATGGCCATTCTAGCAGGTGTAAGGTAATATCTCATTGTGGTTTTGATTTGCATTTCCCTGATAATGAGTGATATAGATCATCTTTTCATTTTTTTGTTGGCCATCTGTTTTTTTTCAGGTCCTCTGCCCAATTTAATTGGATTATTTTTTTGGTGTTGTAGAAGTTTTTTTTTTAAAGATTTTTTATTTATTTATTTGACAGAGAGATACACAGTGAGAGAGGGAACACAAGCAGGGGGAGTGGGAGAGGGAGAAGCAGGCTTCCCGCCGAGCAGGGAGCCTGATGCGGGGCTCGATCCCAGGACCCTGGGAGCATGACTTGAGCTGAAGGCAGACGCTTAATGACTGAGCCACCCTAGAAGTTTTTTAAATATATTTTAGATATTAACTCTTTATTAGATATATCATTTGCAAATATTTTTCCCTCTCAGTAGGTTATTTTTTGTTTGTTGATGGTTTCCTTCACTGTGTGAAAGGTTTTTTTGTTGTTGTTGGTTTTTTTTTGGTGTGGTCCCAATAGCTTGTTTTTGTTTTTGTTTCCCTTGCCTTATGAAACATATCTAGAAAACTGTTGCTTTGGCCGATGTCAGAGAAATTACTACTTGTGTTCTATTCTAGGATTTTTATGGTTTCAGGTCTCATATTTAGGTTTCAATCCAATTTGAGTTTATTTTTGTGTTACAAGGTGGTCAGTTTTCATTCTTTTGCATGTAGCTGTCCAGTTTTCCCAGCACCATTTATTGAAGAGACTGTCTCCCCTTATATATTCTTGCTTCCTTTGTCATCGATTAATTACTGTATAAGTGTGGGTTTATTTCTGGGCTCTCTATTCTGTGCCATTTATTTTTGTGTCTCTTTTTGTGCCAGTACCATACTGTTTTGATTACTACAGCTTTGTAGTATATGTTGAAATGTGAAATTGTGATACCTCCAGCTTTGTTTTTCTCTGTCAAGATTGTTTTGGTTAGGGTGCCTGGATGGCTCAGTTGTTAAGCGTCTACCTTCGGCTCAGGTCATGATCCCAGGGTCCTGGGATTGAGTTCCACATCGGGCTCCTTGCTCCACGGGAAGCCTGCTTCTCCCTCTCTCACTCCCCCTGCTTGTGTTCCCTCTCTCACTGTGTCTCTCTCTGTCAAAAAATAAAAATCTTAAAAAAAAAAAAAGATTGTTTTGGTTATTCCAGGTCTTTTTTGGTTCCATAGAAATTTTACTGTCATTTGTTGTTTTTTAAAAAATGCTTTTGGTATTTTGATAGGTATTGCATTGAATCTGTAGATTGCTTTGGGTAATAGAGACATTTTAACAATATTAATTCTTCCAGTCTGTGAGCCTGGAATATCTTCCATTTGTTTGTGTCATCTTCGGTTTCTTTCATTAGTATTTTATGATTTCAGAGTACAGATCTTTGACTTTTTTGGTTAAGTTTATTCTTAGGTCCTTAATTCTTTTTGGTGTAGTAGTAAATGGTGGTGTTTTCTTATTTCTCCATCTGCTGCTTTGTTATTAGGGTATAGAAATGCTACCGATTTCTGGGTGTTAATTTTGTATCCTTCGTCTTTACTGAATTCGTTTATTACTTCTAGTTGCTTTTTGGTGGAGTCTTTAAGATTTTCTATGTATAGTATCATGTCATCTGCAAATAGTGATAGTTGAACTTCTTTACCAGTGTGGATGCCTCTTATTTCTTTTTCTTGTCTGATTGCTGTGGCTGGGACTTCTGATACTGTGTTGAATAAAAGTAGCAAGAGTGGACATATTTGTCTTGTTCCTGATCTTAGAGGAAAAACTTTCAGTTTTTCACCATTGAGTATGATGTTAGCTGTAGGTTTTTCATATATAGTCTTTATTATG